GGCTACAAAAAGCGTTTACAAGCTTTGATACTTGCCAAAGGGGGCAGTACAAGATATTAACTCTGCAGGGTGCCCAAACTTTTGCAGACGCCATTTTTTTGTTTTCTGTTATTTTGAAAGTGTAAATGATGGAAATAAAATCTAACTTTTGTTGACATATTATAAGAATGTCTACTCTGTAATTTGATGCCTTTTGTAGATTTTTCCATCTTTCTTTGGCTTCTTTATGCACATTAATACAAATTTTTAGCTGGGGTGCCCAAACTTTCGATCCCTACTGTAGATATCTTTGTGCCCCCTTGTTAGGTAAGACCTGGAAAAAAATCTGAAAAGTTGGGGAGGGAACTTATTTTTTTTTCTATTTTTTTCAAAGCGTTGTTTTCAGAAAAATTGGAAAAAAAAGTGTGGGATACATTCTTTTACAGTGATCAATATATCTATGAAATGGTATTCAAACTATATAACATTAAGACATTAATGAAAGATTTCTGAGACTTTATGTAAAGTCTTAATATACTGAAGTTCTCTCAGCTAAAGGCAAGCAAATTCCGGAATACAATTCAAGTAACACTGTACTTCTCAATGCAGTTCTCAAACATGAGAAATATGCATTTCTGCCACTAGGTGATACTGCAAAGGAAAGGCTCCAGTTCAGTTTGCTTGTGGGCCCCATCCTGTACCTTCTACAGTTTGGTGATTGTTGGGATACAGTAGATGATAGATGATGGTTTCTGATCTCAAGCCTTAATTGACAAGTAAGAGGATAAATTTGTCTGACAAATTAGTTTATGTTTATAGCCTTTAAATGATTCCTAATAATTTTCTCCACCATCACAGCATAAGCTTTACCTATAGTCTGGTCAGCAAACTGAGTTTTCTTTTCCTCCTCTGAGTAAAATGGTAAGACTAATATCTAGAGTTTGGAAACATTTCCACAGTGCAAATTCTACAAGGATGAAAAAACATATCCTTGCATGCCAGAGGTCCCCTAAAGACATTAAAAAATACTTTATGGAATTAAAGTGGTTCTAAAGCCTTAAGGTTTTTTATTTTAGTGTATTCTATGCTATGTGCATGAGAGCAGCGGCTTGAGCCACTGTCTCCCTCCTCACAGGGTAGACCAGGGGCGGACTGACCATTTGGAAACTCGGGCGTTGGCCGAGGGCCCGAGGTCAGTAGGGGGCCCCCTGAGATGCCCCTGGTATCTTTTTCATAGGCTTTTTTGAGTTTTGGCAAAGACACAGGGGGCCCCATAATCCCCTATTGCCTGGGGGCCCCATGAGTTGTCAGTCCGCCCCTGGGGCATACTGATACCAGCAGAAGCCATTGGCTTCCACTGCTGTCGATCAAATGCTGTGACAAGGAAGATGGTTGGGCGAACCCGCCCGCTCTGTGCCAATAGAAACAGACAGGGTGGCTTGGGGATGTGCCCGCATGGATGCCTTCTGGCAAATCAGATTTCCATGGGCAATCGCTGAAATGGAGGAGCCTGGGGACCCCAGAAAAAGAGAATCGGGGCTAATCTGTGCAAAGAGCAGGTAAGTATGTCATGTTTGTTATTTTAATAAAAAATAACAGAAGGTTTAATGTTACTTTAAATGATGAGGACCATAATGAAAGTGCAAGTAGTTTTCCCTCCAGAGTTCTCATTCCAGTAACAATCATTCTGCTGCTTCTGGATCATCACAAAGTGTCTCTTGACCAGCAGCATCTTCAAGTAAAGAAGTATCGCAAACCAACGCAAATCCTCATTACATATTTATAGAAAAAATGACACATGAACATCAGGGGAACATTGATCAAGCTCTTGCAAGAGCAATATATGCTTCTAGATCAGCATTGGCAATAACTGAAAATCCATATTGGGAAGAAGCTTTTAAATTAATATGAGGGAAAGGGGGTTACCTGTTCCCATGTATAGCTGAAATGTTCATATACAGTCCTTGGTATTCCATTTGTAATAAAAAATACAATTTTGAAAAGCAAGTTTAATTTAATTACTGAATAAGCAGTACTTTTATTTCAAGCATACTAGTTTTATATACACTGATTTCATGTTCCCAGTGTAACAAAATTATTTTCAAAATTGAACTGTTATTTACATTTTTTTGGAAATTTCCATTTTTTTCCAGAAAAAGGGAAAACATTTTTTTCCCCATAGCTTCAAGATTTCTGGAAATTTTACATCTATACCCCCCAATCATAAAGGGAACATCCAGATTCTACAATAAACCCCCCCATATTACCCCCACCTTTTTCTTGAAGCAACTGGAGGTGGGAAGGGGGCAACATTGGGACAAGGGTGCTTGTTGGGGGGGGGGGGGGGCTTTGCTGTCTACAATTTTGTCCATATTCAATATATTTCAAAATATATTTATATATATATATGTATATATATATATATATATATATATATATATATATATACTGTATGTTGAAATGCATTTTTATTACAAAATTTATGAAAAATATTTTTAAAAATACATTTTCAAATATACTGTATGTCTTTAAAATACATTTAATCTACATTTTTGGAATGCATTTACAAATATATGTAAAAATATATGTTAAAATGACTTTTTCATATGTTAAAAAAATCTGAAGAATATATTTTAAAAATACATATTTAAAAAAAAAAGTTCATATATTTTGTAATATATAAAAAAAGCATTTCAACATGCAATATATATATATATATATATATAATATATATATATATATATATATGTTATTTTTTTTTTTTTAAATATATTGAATACGGCCAAAATTGTAGTATTTCAAATATATGTTAATATATTTGGGAAGAATATTTTTTAAATATTTTAAAATATACTTAAAAAATATATTTCAAATATATTTTTCTTCCATGTGGGCATATACTCCTGCACTTGGGGATGGACTCCACAGAGGCTACATAGCAAAAGCCTTGAAGAGTGCATGCCTTGCTGCCTTCAATTGACCAGGGGAGTCCAAATACCTTGCATGCAAAGAAAACAAACAGAGGATGCACAGGCCTAGTGCATTACCTTTAAAAAAAACCATTTACTAATAAAAAAAGAAGAGGTAATATACTCACAAATGACAATATTGTCAAAGGCACATCATATGAAGAACAGCACTGTCCAGTCTGCACTGGGTGATATCCTCAACAGAAGACCTGGATCTCCAACAGGCTAACACATTTCGAGGACTTGCCTCTTCCTCAGAGCCAAACCATGACTAGCTCTGAGGAAGAGGCAAGTCCTTAAAACGCGTTAACCTGTTGGAGGTCCAGGACGCTCATTGCGGATATCACAAAGTGCGGACTGGACACTGCTGTTCTTTATATGATGTGCCTTTGACAATATTGTCATTTATGAGTATACTACCTCTTCTTTTTTATCAATAAATTTTTTAATGAAAGGTAATACACTAGGCCCGTGCACCCTCTGTTTGTTTTCTTTGCATGCTATGTCATCACAGACTGATGTGCCCATAGCCACATCGGCCTGTAGCTCCAGAGGAGAGACAAGTATCTTCACCATGTCTTCACTAGCCATAGATAGTACATGGAAAAGTGGTAACGTCGTTGATTTAAAAGCAAGCAAAAGTAAAATGATTTGACAGACTATTTCAATATAACAAAAATCATTATGCTAAATGATGTTGTCCTATAGTACAGGAAATTATTTTTGCAGCTTTAGCCTTCTTATACGGTTTACATTTTCCTCCAAGACACTTACCAAGGCATGCTGCCTGGATGGCCAGGAAAGGGAGGGCAGTGGGCTTGTGACTTCTTCTTTCTGTACCACACAAGACCTCATGACTTTCAACATTGGGGCGGTACTTTGAGAGTGGGAAAATGGCTAAGTCTTCCACCATTGCAAAGCACCCTTTCCCAGTGTTGCCCCTTCCTCATCTCTGATGCCCCTAAAAGTAGGTGGGGGGCATAAGGGGGATGTATAGCAGAATCTTGAAACTCCCTTTTTAATAAGGGGCTCCCAGAGTTTCACCTCTTCCCAGAGGAATCAGTGCAGGAGTATGTTAAAACCCCTTGTTTACTCCCAAAATATTAAATGTAAAAAAATCACACACACTTTGAAATATCCCTTTAATTACATTATAATAAAAACATAATAAAAAAAAAAAAGTTATTATTGCCCCCTGATGTAATCCATATTGTCCAGCAACGTAAATCTTTCATCAATCATGGAGTCAAGCAAAGTAAACCTATTGTGAATCATGACGACCTGACATAATGCTAACACATCGCAGGTGACCAAAAATGATTCATGAACAAATTTATTCAATGACGTCACCTGGGTTCCCCTCTAGTTTCTTTACATTACAGCAGCTGGGAATTTGGGCGGGCAAACTTCCACATTAGTTCAGGTCTGTGAACTGCAAACAGGTTGGGTTCATCTCAAAGTTCATCCCTAATTACATTAAAAAAAATTATTTATATATATTATATATATATATATATATATAATAAAACTAATGTGTGTGTATATATATATATATAATATATATACTGTATATAGTAAATTGCATATATATATATATATATATATATATATATATATTTCAATAATGAATAAAGAAATAGTGATGTTATGTTTATGAGTTGTCTTTTTTAACTCACTAGAGGCCACTTGAAATATGTTATCAAAAACCCCAAAATAATTAGATACAATTTGCACAATGCTTGTCCCGATATGTATTTCATAAACAGAACACATAAGAATAATGTGATTTTGCATCACTGTGATATAGTTCCATTTACACGCAGCTTCTCATAATTTGAGGTCAGAGGGTACATTTTAATGGACTGGCACCAGGTGGCAGTTGGGGCCCCTTTAACCATGCTTGGTTGATTTAGCCATCAACAACTCATGTCCTGCACCATAAAAAAATATTATCTATATTAAAATATGTGTTTAGATAATATGCACAGGCACATTAAAGGCAAAAAATAATGTTTCATGGGTTCAGCAATTTGTGCAGATCTCATTAAGGAGAAGTATTACAATATATACGGTATATATATATATTTATTTTATTTTTTTTTTAATGAACATTTCTTAATGGGATAGTTGCTCCCAAAACTACATAATACTATATACTTTCTTAAACAGCTATGCTATGTTTATTGTACCATTTCTGATGCTACTGGATAAAGGCTAAGCAAACATATTTAAATAAAAAAAATCCTATAGGATATTCACACGTACTTTTTTAACAAAATTTTTGTATACTGTAAGCCTAATGCTTAAGAACAATATAAGCAGGAATTCCTTACAGGCGCTCAGTGCAGGAGAATTGCATTGAGGTGGATGGCTCTGTACAGATAATCAGTTTACAAAGTTTTTGCTCAGTTTTCCACTGTGCATTGTTAAAATTAACTCAAATTGCAATGGCTTTGCAAATTGTCTTTACATCCTCATCCTTTTTTCCCTAAGGAGAAATTAACTGCATCCTGTGACATATTATTTTTTCCCCAAAAGTTTTGAGTAAATATGCATAGTGTATTAATTTTTTTTGGCTGCTGGCATTTTGATATACATTGGCATTAAATATATCCAAACACAGTATGTGTACTGGTATCACATAAAACTGAAACAGATTTAAAAATAAACATTAGCTCTATTAATTGATCTGATGTATGAAAATTAAGTATTTTAATTAACATTTTACTTTTTTCTTTGTCTTGCTGTCATCAACCATTTTGCGAGTTCAGAATTCTTTTTTATAAATGCTTTTATTTAGAAGAGTTGGTGATGGCTGAACCCGCTGGTAGCTTTTTATTTCAGTCTTTGTCTCTCTTGCGGATTTGCATCACTTCCTATCTGAAGAAATTGTTGCCACTGTGACAGTAAGTGAGGAAAAATCTTCCAAACAAAAACCTGGACAGCAGTAAAAAAAAAACTGGCCGGGGTTCCAACCCTACCTCTATCCACAACTAAAAAAAACTGCTGGACAAAAAAATTTAATGTTTTCTTTTTTATTTTTAGGTTTTTTTGTTTTGTTTTGTTTTTTTTAGTACAGTGATGAAAGAGATGCATGAGCCATCTATAGCTTTAGGATGCAGTTTGGAGACATATTAAACATACAGGAACAAGAAGCAGTAAAATAGAGATGGTTCATTGTCTGATGGTTATATATGCATTATATCTTTACATTGTGCCCAGCAGTAATCAGTCTGCTGTAACTGACTATCCACTGGGCGTTTACTATGGACATTCATTCCTATATTAATATCTACAAATAAACCAATGCATTTGCATTTTAAAGAGCCTGCATTTTGATTGTATGGCTAATAAAAGAGAGATGGCTATATTAGTGTACACTTGAGTGATTTGACTTTTTAACTGTACAAATATTTATGATTTATTGCTACAATGCTTCATTTTCATTAGTACATCTGCCAAGCCTCAAAATTCCGCTCTGCATTCGGACTGCTATAAAACAATTGTATACCACTGAAGGAGATCCAGTGAGGATTGAGAGGGCATGGATAGAAATATGGAATACAGACTATCATTTTATAATAAATCCCTCAATAAGGTAGTGGAAAGCGCTGTATTCAAATTCAAAGCACAGAAATGGCAGCAGCCAATCAGATTTCAGTTTAATACAGTCAGGTTAGTAAAATCTTATCTCGCAGCTTACTGCATTTTCAAGTCTCTTCTTTATATTTTCAAGTCTCTTCTTTATATTTTCAAGTCTCTTCTTAATTATGCACGGTAATTATATTGTGCTTTGATTGTCTGGACTATTACTTTAAAGTATGGATGTTACTGATCCTGGTAATTATGTTCTGTAATCTCAGTTATTAAAATATATATATATACATATATATTTTAAAAGGGATTCACAATTTTTGCCTGCAGTTCATTGTTTGAGAAATTAGCAGCCTACTCATCTTAAATTGCCTGCAGATTTATTATTGCATCTGGAAACATTTACTGTAAGAATTGGTAAATATGCCAAGTGTAAGCGGCGTACAAACTGGGTATAGGTATAGTAGAAATGTTTCTTTTACCAGGGCACAGAATTTAGAAAATTAGACCATGTAACCAGAAACCCCACAGGAAACACAGGGATGGAATCACTGTCTTTACTGCAGGAAAGACATCACTGTGCATATAACAGCTCATAAACTGTATATATGTCTTACCTGCTAAAGGATTTGTATTTCTGCCCATCCAGTCATGAGATTTACAAAGCCCTGCCAGACAGCCTAGTGAGCTGATTTTTTTTTCTGCTGCAGTTAAACAACACAGCTAGGTCACCCCCATACCACCAGACTGTAATTCAGTGGCAGTCTTATTATTATTTATTACAGGTAATTATATAGTGCTGCCAACTTACACAGTGCCTTACATGTATATATATATATAGTACATTCACATCAGTCCCTAACCCTCAAGGAGCTTACAATCTAAGGTCCATAATTCATATTCATACATACACATAATATGGACAATTTAGACAGGAACCAATTAACCTACCAGCATGTCTTTTGAGTGTGGGAGGAAACCGGAGTACCCGGAGGAAACCCATGCAGGCACAGAACATGCAAATCCCAGGCAGGTGGTGCCATGGTTGGGATTTGAACCAATGATCCTAGTACTGCCAGGCAGAAGGGGTAACCATTTAGCCACTATGCTGCCCTAGGTCTTCGATTCAATTCAGAACCTCAAGTGTGGCCCCCAACACTTCTAGAGGTCTGCACAATAGCAGTTCAGTTTTGCACCTCAATGCCCATTTTTATTGCAGCGCATCGCAATGCTCACTGAAAAACTTGAAGTGCAATAATAACACCAGCATTAGTGTCAGTGGACAAATAATTACCCCAGCATTGGTGTCAACGAGTGCGATAACAACCAGCAACATTATTTTCAGTGGATGCACTAATAACCCCCAAGATTGGTGTCAGTGGATGCAACAAAAAAAACTCCCTATTGGTTCAGGTTCACATTACAGTTTGTCTCCTAAAAGCTCATCTTGTAATGTACAGTAGTGATGGTCATCTCCATCTAGCAGCCAACGTGCTCACTACTTCAATGTTATCCCACTAGAGTGCGTCCAGAAAACTGCTAGGGGGATCCCACGTTTTCAACTTCCTAGGGCCTCCACAGAGTTCAATCTGGCACTGGCCCCTCCTTCTTTCAGTGTGACAACTGCTGTCCAGTGAATATTTAGAGGATGAAATCAAGTAAAATGTACAAAATAGATATTTATACTATCTGCATTTAAAGTACAACTAAAGGTACTTGTTTAACAGTCTAATCAAGTCCTAAATTCAATTATTGTGGGATTCACAAGCCTCATAAAGTAAACAATAAACACCCTTTACTTTTCTTGACTAAGCTAAATCCTCCTTTGTATCACATGTTCCCCTTCCTAGACACTGCAGCTCACAGGGGAGGACTTTAGCAACAGATAAAGTACTGCATTCCACAAAGCAGTGAGCTTTTTTTTTTTGTAATATTTTTTCATCCCACTGTAGGCCCAGGCTACATGAGAGTGGCAACTCTGCTCTAAATTCAGGAGCAGTGCAGCATTGTTTTAAATATAAAGAGTATTGGGTATATTCTTACAATTATCCAATCAGTACAAGCATCCACGTATGTCATATTATATCAAGCAAAATACAGCATAGGTATTCATCTATGAATCACATCAACAAAAATACATGCATGTATATAGGTACAGTGAACAACATTAGAACATATAGCAGCTGATGTTCAGACATTCACACCAGTGGCCTGCTGGAGGTAATTTTGTAGGGCTCTTTCAGTGCTCATCCTGTTTCCTCCTTGCACAAAGGAGCAGATACCGGTCCTGCTGATGGGTTAAGGACCTTCTACAGCCCTGACCAGCTCTCCTAGAGTAACTGCCTGTCTCCTGGACTCTCCTCCATGCTCTTGAGACTGTGCTGGGAGACACAGCAAACCTTCTGGCAGTGGCACATATTGATGTGCCATCCTGGAGGAGTTGGACTGTCTGTAAAACCTCTGTAGGGTCCAGGTATCGCCTCATGCTACCAGTAGTGACACTGACCCTAGGCAAATGCAAAACTAGTGAAAATCAGTCAGAAAAAGACGAGCAGGAAAAAAATGTCAGTGGCCTCCACCTGTAAAACCATTCCTGTTTTGGGGGTTGTCTCATTGTTGCCCATCTAGTGCACCTGTTGTTAATTTCATTAACACCAAAGCAGCTGAAACTGATTAACATCTCCCTCTGCTACTTAACTGACTGGATCAATATCCCAGGAGTTTAATTGACTTGATGCCATACTCTGATTAAAAAGTGTTCCTTTATTATTTTTTAAGCAGTGTATTTACCATAAGGTATACATGTTATAATTTTCACACAAACCAATTATTATACACTTATTGGGATTTGTTTTTCTAGCAAAGAATACCTTTTTGACCAAAATTAATGAAGACAGTAGAAGATATCATTTTTTTTTATGTCTTTTTGGTTATACAGTATAATATTATTACTATACAGTATTTATAAAGCGCCAATAGTTTGCTCAGCGCTGTACATTACAAAGGGGGACAGAACATGTGACAGAACAATACCAATACAATGCAAAACATGAGGGGATCGAGGGCCCTGCTCTTTCGAGCTTACAATCTAGGAGGGAGGGGATGGTGGCACAGGAGGAGATAACTGTGGGGGATGGAGCGGTAGGAAGAGTGGAGGAGGTCGGCAAGTTAGCATGGGGTGGGGTAGGCTTCCCTGAAGAGGTGGGTTTTCAGGGTGCGCCTAAAGGAGAGGAGAGTAGGTGATAATCTGATAGGCTGGGGCAGGGAGTTCCAGAAGATGGAACAAAAAAAAACAAAAAAACAAAACAATGGTGATCAAATACCACCGAAAGAGAGTGTGAAAAAAATGACATCAATTTAATTTGCTTACAGTGTTGCATGACTGCACAATTGCCAGTTAAAGTAGCACAGTGCTAAAAAGCAAAAAATGGCCTGGTCATGAATGGGGTAAAATTTTTTCCAGAGGTCAAGTGGTTAAAAAATACATAACTGCATTCATTGCTTTTTATATCTGC